GAGTTGGGGTGCCTCCAGGAATAGGGTTGGGAAACAGTTTTAATAACCCTGAAGACCTTGATTAGCTTGTTTTACTATGATTGGACCTAAACTCTACAGTTGCCAACCCTGCCCTAACGCCAACCCTGCACCTAAAATCTGATTGCTTAGTGGGAACCTTATTCCAGGAACAGCAAGGAAGTTGATCCAAGAACATGTCCAAACTCGTCAAATCACGTTAAGTAAGTTCAGATGTATTCGATGTTAGCGTTATACCAGCCTCATGTTAATGGCTAGGGGCTAAAGCTAAGGTTAGGGCCTGGAACACCAATCGTAACCACCAGTTATGAGTAGGAATTGCTTAGGAATTGGTTTTGGTGTATAAACTTAGGTTGGCTTTAACTGGTTGGCAGGAATACTGTTCCAAGATCAACTATAATCAAAAATAATGTAGATTTACTTGGGTTAATCATGTTGTGAAAAGCTTCAGTAGATTATAAATGGATAAGTAATGTATTTGGCTAAATGAACTGACCGACTGCACCCAAACTGTAAAGTCTTTTATATGTTTCCCTATTATACCAGGATGAACATGATTTCTGGAAGAAACTGATAGAGCGTTATCTACTACCCATACAAGATGACAAAGCTCATCTCGAGGAAGTGACACGGGAGCTCAAGTCGCTACGGAACAAGGTAAGGTTGGCAAATGAAAAAGTTAATCTGTCCAGGCCTGTAACTTCATTTACTAAATGAGAACTATTCTCTCCTGTTTTGTAGGCAGTGTTTTTGTACTTCATAATTAACGTCCTCTGGGTTGTAGCAACGTTCTTCCTTCAGGCCATTGGCACTGATGTTCTGAGCATCAATATTCCAAAGTACTATCCTAACGGAACTTTGGCACCAGACCCCTTGAGGGTGGAGCCTTTGAGTTTGATGTTTCTGCTGTCTTTCGCCGTTCTGCTCATCATTCAGTTCTTGGCTATGCTTTACCACAGGTAAAACTCGCATCACGTACTGCCACATTGGTACCTGAACAATCGATCTACTTTTATATACATATATATGTACAAACACACACTCACATGTATGGAACTTGATTATTTGATACGTGAAACCCTGTTATTTCCCATTACAGAGTATACACTCTCATCCATGTGGTATCGTACAGAGGCACAGAGAAAGACTACAAAGAAAAAGATAAGGTGAGTAACTGCTCTTTGGTGCTGCATGCCATTTAGCCATGATTCAGCCTGTACATTAAGTGTTTTCCTTCTAAAAAGCTGACTGCAAAACATGGATTGTTTTTACAATACAATGACAATTTGTTCATTGCAGGAGGATGAAGATGAGGGATTGGT